GTGCATCCCCCTTTGGGAGCTGTCCTTATCAAAAGAAAACATCTTGCATGAATAGTTTCTCTGTGGCTGCACCACAGAGATGAACAGAGAAATGGGGCCTCATTTGGGAAGGCTCAGAACACTTAATTCTGCCTTATTATTAAGCCTCGCCGCTACAGTGGGTTCAAATCCCACCTTAGACCAGTGGTTTCTTTTCAATTACATTATTAATAAGAGTAACACACTGAGAAGTAAAGAGAATGGGTCTGCGAGTGTATGTCTTTGTAGAGTAGAGGCTAGGACTTTGGGCTTGTGGCTGAGTGGGTGTGGGCTCAAATCCTGGCTGTGGTTGCATGTTGTTTGTCAGTATAATTCTTAGCAACAGTAACACACTGCTAAGTGAACAGATAGGGGTTGAGCTTTATGGCCCAGCGGTTAAGAATCTGTGCTTGTGGCTGACTGGTTGTAAGGAGGAGAGAGTGAGCAGGTACCAGGGACAGAGCAGAGTAACTGGATGAGCCCAGGGTGAGGGGCTCTGGGGTTTACCTTTTACTGAAAATGTTCAAAAACTATCAAGATTTTCAGAAAAAGGTAAACCCCAGAGCCCCTCACCCTGGGCTCATCAGTTACTCTGCTCTGTCCCTGGTACCTGCTCACTCTCTCCTCTTTACCCAGTTACCTGCCCCTGCCACTGTCACAGTTCACTCCTGAGCTCAGCACCCAGCCTGGTCTTGAACCTGGGAGAACAGTCTCTTACCCTCTCTTCTATTGATCCCCCCACCCACTCTTACAGTTCCCCTGACTTATCAGCACCTTTCTGTCAAGAAGGACTAAACTACAAGCACACCTGTCTCAGCAGGATTGGAACCCACAACCACCAGACTGTGAGCCCATAGCCTCAAAGTCCACACTACAGAGGTACATACTCACAGCTCCACTCTCTTCTCACTTATCAGTGTGTTGATGTTTCAGGAAGAATTAAACTGAAAACAGACCACAGGTCTCACAGAAGGTTTGAACCCTCAACCAGTCAGCCATAAGCCCAGTCTTACTCTACAAAGGCACCCGCACATAGACCCACTCTCTTTATCGTATCAGTGTGTTGTTTTTATTAAGAATTTAATTGAAAAGAAACCCCTGGTCTAAGGCAAGATTTGAACCCACACTCCCAGAGTTACAGGCCCACAACCTTTAATAACCCTCTATCGGGCCATACCACCTCACTCCCAATCTCTTTCCTTATCAATGTGTCCCTCTCTGTGAGAATATAACTGTAAAGTAAACCAGGGGTGCAAAGCAGGACTTGAACCCACAATCCTTGAAAGCAGCCTCACACTCTTCACCACCACACCACAGGGCCAGACAACCATCAACCCACTTGCTTCACTTTTCAATGTGTTCCTCTAAGCACGAATGGAATTAAAATGACTCATTAAGGATCCATACCCACACCCAACAGGTCATGAGCCTAGAGACTTAGCCCTCTCTTCTATAGAGTCATACAGCCCCCACCCCCATGACATTTAAGTAAGAATTAAAGTGGAACCAAAGCAGGAATCACAGCCAGGATTTGAATCCACAACCATCCCTCCCTGAGCTTAGGGCCGTAACCACTATCTTAAAGGGCTGCATAGCCACCACCCCCGATCTCTTTATTTATCAGCGTGTTGATGTCTGTGAGAATTAAAGTGAAAAGGAACACGTGGTATTCAAGCTGGATTCAAACCTCCAACCGTTTAGCCAACAGCATGGAGTTTTAACCACAACTCTATAGGGCCACGTGCATCCCAATCCCCTCTTTTTATTTATCAGTGTGTTCATGTCAGGACACATTAAACTTAGACCAAAATCCACCCATGATTCGAACCCAGAACAATCCAGCCATAGGTCCAGAACCTTAGGCATTACTCTATAGTGCCATGCACCCTGATCACCTATCGCTTTATTGATCAACGTGTTAGTACACCTGAGCTTGAAAGCAAAGCTCACATAACTCCCAGCCTTTGAACCCCTGATGCATCAGCTAAGAGTGTAGATCCCTCCCTACACACTACTCTATAGGACAGCAAACAAAGCACCCGACCTTTATTGACTCATGTGTGAATGTCAAGTAAGAATGGAAACTAAACCTCCTCTATCACCAAGGACTGGAACCCACAGCTCCCAGGCTACAAGTCAAGAGCTCTTCCCAATGAGCCCCAGTGTCTTCTTGGTCTCTCATCCAACATGTCAGCGGTAATTTATATTAAATATATCTCTCATATCTCTTCTTTTTTTCTGCGGCGGTTATGTGGCTGAATATCGGGGGGTGTAACTCTAACATTAATAAAGGAATCCTTGATGGATCTGTAAGCCATCGACGACAGAATAACTCAAATCGACCTGTGTTCGCCTTGAGCAACGACAGACCCATCTCCAGCGCCGTTTTGCTTGAGCTCGGTGCGACTCACACCGCCCCGCTCCTCTTTATCGTTTTCATCCTAAATCTCTCCTGCGGTCAAAACCCTCGTGTCTTCTGATGTCGGACGTTTTCTCCGTGCGGCCCGGCGCCGCTTGCTACCGGCGACTGGCGCCCTGCGAGACCTGACAGGAGAGAGGCCACAGACCCGCGGCACAGGAGGAGGGGGACTCGGTTTCGCGAACGCGGCGTTCTGATTGGACGAACTCACGTGGCTAATTATACCCGCTGTTCCTATTGGACGGCTCAGCCAATTCACCCACACAACCGCCCCTATTTAAATAAAAGAAATGGACCAATAGGAGAGTCGGTCAGCCCCCCGCAGCCACACCCCCCTCAGAGCGCTGCTCTTGTGACATCAGTACTCTCGCAGCCAGAGAGGAGCTGAGCTCTGCTCCTACAAATGTTCACATGCAGATAATTTGCTGTCCAACCTCGACGCGCCAGATTTAATTAAAAAAAAACATTCTAGATCGAGACCTAGTGATCAGGCGTTAGAAACGCAATGAGGAGCCCAGAGAATCATGCAGAACCCATTACCAGTCCAGTGACGACTGACTGGTACCCCGAGTCCCGCTCTCTCCAGACAGCCTGTCCCGAACTGGGTCCTCTTACGGCTGTGACGGCTCAGAAAATGAGCTTCTGCGGGTTTCAGACCGGACTGGCGTCACGAAGCTGCTTGCGGGACTGATTCGGGTGAACAAGCGGGTTCAGGAGAATAACTGCATTGACACTATCCCGGAACTCGGCCCTGAGTCACTGTTAGTGTTAATACACAGCCGCTCTTCGCGAAATAAATAAGATCTAACTCAGTCTAGGAAACTTTTCGCATTAAACCACAAGAGGGCACCACAGGTGCAAAAGCAGACTAGTCTTCCCAATGACTGCATTTTCTATCGCAAAGACATTCTTATGCAGTATGTGCAACCCGGAAAAATACGTTTTTCAAAACATAAATTCATTAAAAAAATAACAGGCGGGAATGGAAAAGGCATATACAACATGAGACACTTTCAAGAGTGAAATGATTTACTCTCAAGTACAAATTGTGCACATTTTACAAATAAAGTTACATAAAAAACATTGGAGGCCCGGACATTTTCGCGATCCTTATCGACAATTGTTCTTAGCGCTACAAGAATGGATACAAATTAGATTAGGAATCTGGGCTGCTTGGCTGTTTGTAGCTACTTGATCCAAGAGTCTCATTTTCAACCCCGATTCTAGTCCATTCTTGTGTTCATTTACTCAGAGCTTCATGGTTTGTAGGCTGATGACTACCAGGAACTCTGAAGGGCAAAAAAATATATTTCTAGCTGCTTATGAAGAGTCCCATTCTTCCAAAAATATAATATAGACAATCATATTGTGTTTCGATAGAAATCTGCTCTGAGATTTTGTTTATATTTAATTTAAGTACATTACATAGGAACCAAATAAAAAGTTTTTAAAAATGAGGCACAAGATAAAATAGTTCAATGGAATGTAATTTATTGCGGTTGTGCTCTGACATAGGCTGCTATAAAGGCAGTGACTCTGACAGAGTATTTATCAACTATTATTAATTATATAATAATAGTAATTATATTACACATAAGTAATTAATGGATCCTACAGGACGTCTGATTATTGTTAATGCTCAGTGAGAGTGTGGATTTGGTCTTGGAGAGTAGGAATCCAAAGTCAGCAAAGCGATATTACTAATTGATTTAATCTTCAAAAGTAACATTTCTGTTAACAGCTTCTAGTCGGACTGCATTACAAAAACATTGCAGGTCTCATAGTCTGCCACAACCCCAGAGGACAGAGAAGGCAGTTGGGTGGCTCTGTGGCTGGAAGAGTTTGCCAGTTCAAATTCCGTGGCCGGCAGAGGAATCCTACTCCGTTGGGGTCCCTGAGCAAGGCCCTTAACCCCAGATGCTCCAAGTGCGCTGTACAATGGTTGACACTGCGCTCTGACCCCAAACGTCTCTCCCTGTCTGTGTGTCTCATGGAGAGCAAGCTGGGGTCTGTGAAAAGACAAATCCCTAATGCAAGAGATTGTGTATGGCCAATAAATTGATCTCTAAAACTAAAGGCTAACTCACTCAAAGCTTTTAAAGTAATGGTTTTTAGTACTTCAAAGTTTTTTTTTAACATTCATCCCTGAGAATGAAAATGTTTCGAATCTGTGACTGTTAGCTCCAAGATGGCTCCCTCCCCAGTAACAGCAACTTTGATCTTAATATCTAATCTAAAGCCTATAATCTTTGTCTGCAATAGAAAAACGACAGGTTTCGAAACCATTCAGAGCTCTGGAAATCAGCAAAGCTGATACTGATCTGTAAAATACTGATCTACAGCACTGCCTTCAGACTGGACGGTCCGGTTTCTGGACACCAGAGGTTGTGTTTCCTCTCCACCAGTGACACCTGGAGCCCAGGAGCCCAGAGATCAGAGCTAAGAACAGCAGCAGGAAGGGAGGGATCAGCATGACATAGGTTCGAGAACTCACTCCAGCATCTGAAGGCCTGGGAGCTGTAATAATAATAAAGAGAGAGAGAGAGATGTTCTGAAACAGAGTGGTTTCTCTGGAGAAGAGACTGGTTTTTATACAAGAAACACCCCTTCTTGCCCTGTTTTTCAAGCTAAGGAGCATCATTCGGAGTAAGTGCGATTCCAGTCTGGGTTGGGCCCTGAATCTGAGGAAGCGTTTGCCCAGTTGGGCCAGATTTCGAGAAGGAATCGAGAATCTGTCTGCAGGACAGGCACATCCCCTCCTTTGACCCTGAGTGACAAGGGTCTCAGGGGGTCCCGTTACAGACAAGCTCCTGGAACACTGGAGAGCAACAGACCTCACAGTTCTCCCCGCTCCTCAAAGCACACAGGTGCAGAGAAACATCTACCTCTGTTACCGCAGGAGAAATCTCATCCTTGCTTTCTGCTGGAAGGAAATCTGGAGTGATAGGTCAAGGGACAGGGATGCTGATTAGTTAATTTATTCAGAAGCAGGCTTGTTCTTCATGATTATTTTGACAGGATGAACCCATCAGTCCAATATGCGTTTTCCAATGTAATAGACAGGTAGGACTGTGGAAGTACACAAAGATTCATTAAGGAAATACCAGCCATACTGCAGGTCTGAAACAACAGTTGTCAGAAAGCCTCCTACCTCCCACAGTGAGGGTGACAGTGCTGATGGCGTTTCCCTGAAGGTCCCTCACTGTGTAGCTGCCATGATCAGCTGGAGTGAGGGAGCGCAGTGTCAGAGAGCCGTCCTGCACCGATACTCTGTCTCTGTACTGGGGGACACAGCTGGCTATGCTGTCCTGGACAGAACACACTGAGGTCCAGTTTCCACCTCCTGCAGGATCAAACAGCACCTCCACTGGCTCTCCAGTGAACAGAGGGACAGACAGAGAGGCTTCAGGCTGCAGGGTGACAGTGTCTCTGTGAGCTGAAAGACAATCAGGACAGAGGATGATAGAAGAACACACTCTGTCAAGAATATAGAGCCCTCTAGTGACCCTACTGTAGACCTGCTCACCTCCCACAGTGAGGGTCACAGTGCTGATAGTGTTTCCCTGAAGGTCCCTCACTGTGTATCTCCCCTGATCAGCTGGAGTGAGGGAGCGCAGTGTCAGAGAGCCATCCTGCACCGACACTCTTTCTCTGTACTGGGGGACACAGCGGGCTGTGCTGTTCTGGACAGAACACACTGAAGTCAAGTTTTCAAACAGCACCTCCACTGGATCAGCAGTGAGAAGAGGGAGAGAAAGTGTGTTTCCACACTGAAGGGTGAGGACATCTGAGAAAGCTGGAAGAAACAACAGACACCAAATTCACAGTTAAAGACTTTTTACTTAACATCTTACCATGTTTCTGTGTGACTGTCTGCTGTGTTCACTTCTCAAGTTGGGGCCAACAACAGACTCACACTGTGGGGGTATAACATATTGTATCTGTCCTCTCTCTGTTCTGCTGTGGAGCTGTGTGTGAGGAAGGTCTCAGCTCATAGCACTCTGTGGGAGAGACATGATGTCTCTCGACTCAGCAATGTCACGTCCTTCCTGTGTAGAGCCACTCAGTTCATGTGTGAGAGGAGGAGGACAGACTGTCGTTCAGTCTCCCCTGTTTGGTACTTAATATCTTATTGACTGGAGGATCTCATCCAGCTGTGTCTGGAGAGAAGCCAGGGTAACGGCTTCAACAACTTGGCTGGGCAGCTTGTTCCACACTCCTACCACCCTTTGTGTAATGACAAGCCTCCTTCTCCCTTAATCCCCATAGTTTCCACTAATTTGTCAGTGTGGGACACTCCCTCCAGACTAAAGGCTGAAGGAACTGAGTCTCTGTCAGCATGGGATACTCAAAGTGACCTCTAGATTTTTTCCCCCCAATTTGCTCTTCTCTGGAAAAAAATTCAGAGCAGCAATGTCTTTACTATAATCCAGTCAGTGAAATTGTCCACAAAACTCTAACAGCCTTCCCAGTGAAATAATTTACCAAAATCTTCATTTAAAATTTTACCCTTACCTACATGTCCTAAAATTCAGCTTGCCCCTTTCTTGACTTTAACATGTCAAAAAAAACAACCAGAGAATCATGAGCTCAGACCTGTGATGACGAGGTAGACCTCTCCCAGAAAGGTTAGCTGTTCCTGCCCTTTGCCGCAGAAGCACTCGTAATGACCTTCATCGGAGAACCGTGTGGGGCTGATGGTCACAGAGAAATTCTCCTGACTGATCTTCTCTCTGGACACCGCTGCCCTGTGCTTGAACTCGGGGCCGGGGAAGGGTGATCCACTTATTAAGTTAAACACTAGATCTCCAGATCTTTTCCACTCAATGTGCAGCTGGTCCTCAGGGATTCCCCTCAAGCCAGCAGCTGATCCACTGCAGTTCAGAGTGACCGAGTGTCCAACTGGCACTGACTGATAGACGGCACCTGCAGAGAAACACACAGGAACACAGATGGTTAGATCATCCGAGGCTGTTTTAGGAGGCATGTGTTTTCCTAATCATCTCTTGCAAGTCCTCAGTGTACGTCTTAACCCTTCCAAGACCGCCGTCAGGATGCGCAAGGGGGCGCACCGCTATCTACTTCACGAGGAAGAGGCGCGTGACCCTACAGACCACTTCAATCCAACCCAGAAGGAGTCACATGGGCAACAAGCTGGAGTAGTGGGAGACTTGTCTGGAGCTGTAGAAGTGGAGAGACTACTCGACTGCAGAAAGAGACGTGGAAAACTGAGGGACACGAACCTTGGAATTGTTTAAAGATTGGGAAGGGTGGATTATGGACTTGTCTTGTGTGCAGGACTGTGGACATAAACAACGATGCCTTCTGATTTAAAAGCCAGAAGCTTTTCCGTGTGACTGTTCCCCCTCACAAACCGAGAGGACATACGCCTTCAGTAAGAAGGGAAGGTAATGATATTTCAGCGGCACATATAGAAAGGGATCACTTTTTCAGTAAAAAGCATAAAGAGAGATTCAGTATTCAACACAAATTGTTATTACTAAAAAACACACACAGGATCAATGTGTAAATATAAGCAAATACCCTCCTCAGTCCTGACAGGAACCAGGGCAGTGATTGGGGCAAGGAGCTCATTAATTTTCCTACCCACACAGTTAATGTGACTGCCGCTCTCAGTAAGAGTCAAGACCTAAGCTCTACTTGTGTATCTTTTCCAGCAAGATGAGCATAATCACAGCAGATAGAGAATTCTTACTTTTCACCTCTCACTGTCGGCTTCTGTTCGGTCTTTAAAAACAGAAGCACCAGGACTATGTCTAATCACTTTCCTTAGAGAGTCTGCACTTATAACTCACGCCTGCTTTCACAGTCCCAACTGTCTGTATCCAGGTCAAATCAACCACACATCTCCAGGATTTTCACAAAATAAAAGATCAAACAGAACAGAATTGTTCTGTAAGAAGCCCATTTTCATCTCTTCTTCAAAAATGTTAAGAATTCCAATTCTTCCATGGCAAGGGCCACCAATCCTGCAGGATTTGGGGTAAAAACAAGTGATGTCCAGGGTGAGAGTGAGAGTGTAAGATTCTGAGATCTGGGGCCCCTCTGGTCAGTAGAGTTCAGGTGTGTGTGTGTGTTGTCCAGGGTGAAAAACAGGAAATAAAAGCTGGAGAAACTGGAGGGATACTTACCCGCTGTCAGGGCCATCACAGACAGAAGAGTCAGGGCAGAGAGGACCATATCTGGAATGACCCTGTGGACACAGACACAGTGACTGAGTCACACAAGACCTTAACACTCCAGACAGACAGCATCACCTGAGCACGCCACCTCACACTGACGTACAGACGCTCTCACTGCAGGATCACCTGAACACACCGCTTCACAGAAGTAGGCTGTATCAATCTACAGTCTGTGACTTGGCTCTTGATATACCACATCGGACTTCTTGATTTACTCTATGTGCCACAGGAGTTGAGATTAAAAAGGAACTCCTTTTAAGCAGAATGGAATTTTTCCATCCAACTGAAAAAGAAAAGGTTTCACCTTCACACATAGCAAGAGGCATTACAACTGAATAAATGAATATTTGAATATGAGGATACTGAAAAACCTGTCTACTATTACTACTTCAGTTAAAAAAAAATACTGACACAGCTACAAAGTATTATAAAATGGTCGTTAAAGCAATTATTTTCTGATGTTCCCTTTTGAAGACTGAAATGGCAACTCTTGTGTTTACAGTATGATACTGGAGACACACACTTTTCCTGTTCACACAAACGCACAGAAAACACCAGTATTAAATGCATAAACGAAAGGCAAAGCTCCCGAGGCAAGCAGAGCAACAAAACTGCAGACATTGCTGTCCTCACATCTAGTAACTCGGTGCCTGAACTTCCCAGACTGAGCTACTACCTGTCAAGCAGGCTGGACATAGTCACGAGACTCCCTGAAAAGTAAGGCGTTATATCTTGAGGACAACAGCAGCTGGGAAGCTACTTTCAACAGCACAAACCAATGAGACCAGTTCAGTTCTCCTATGATGTTTCAGGGGGTCTTACCCACTTCACGCTCGTGGACTGTTTTACTACAAGGAGCTCGGTTCTCACTACCGATCGTGTCCAATACACAGCTTTTATTTCCCCAGCAGGCTTCTGGTCAGCACCTATAGCCTTAAACACCCACGACTAGAGAATATCGTAGTGCCTTTGCCTGTCGCTGCAGCTGAAGAGCGCCCGGCTGGGGTACGCGGCGAGGGGCAGGACGGGAGTAGTAGTGGTCAGGGCGGGGACAAGGAAAGCCGCTGACCAGTGCAGCTGACCCACTGTGAAACGGGTGTACAGAGTGGGGAGATCGCCCGGATTCATGTAAATAGTTCCCTGGTTTCACACGCCGTTTATACTTGTACCCAATTGCCACCCTCTCCCTGTGTAACTACCCAAATAGACCTCTGTATGTTGCTCTCTCTCTGCTCGCATGCTAGTTGTTTAGACTTCGGTCATAATTGGGTGGGGAAGGTGCTTTTTTTTAGGTTTAAGAATTTTGAGACGAGTAGCACTGGGAAAAGAGAAGAGTGCTGGGTCTTCGAAGGAGAAGTCTAAGATACCTCAATCGTATATGTATATGTATATGGCAATGGAAGAGAAGAGTGAAGCAGCTGCAGGGGACGTGGAAAGAGTGCTGGAGATGCACTCGTATGCGAGCGAGACTCAGCTGCCGGAGGAAGAGCTGGAGTCTCTGCCCGGCACAACTGAGAAAACCCCAGCAGCCAAGAGAGGAAGGGGCGAGCTGAAGGAGCTCCAGACCAACATCTTCAACATGATGGCACAGAGCATGGGTGAGCTGAAGGAAATGATTCGATTTAATACAGTCGCAATCGAAGGTCTTAAAAAGTCCATGGACCGTGTGTTCAATGATGTTGAGGACTTAAAGAACAAAGCAAAAGTTCTTAAACAAGTAAATATTGAACAAGAAAAGAAGATTAAAGATCTCGAATTGAAAGTGAACGATGCAGAAAGACACCGTCGACGATGGAATTTAAAATTACTTGGAGTTAAGGAGGAACGCGATGAGGACATTGTTGCAACAGTGAAGGGTATCTGTAAAAGGACCCTGTCGCACCAGGAGGACGCGATATCTGCCATTGACTTTGTTCACAGGCTCGGGAGAGGGAACATGACTGGGCAAGTGCGCCCCAGATCGATTATAATACAGTTCACCAAGAGGACCGCGAGGGACATGCTGTGGCGAGCAAGGGGGAATGAGTATTTGAATGAGAACAAACTGAGGTTTGCAGAGGACCTGTCTGCCGCAGACAGGAGAACCAGGAGCCAGCTGTGGCCCCAGGTTGAAGCTGCAAGAAGAGAGGGGAGGAGAGCCTGCTTTGTGGGAGCGAGGGCCTTTGTGGACGGGAAGGAGATCTGCTCCCAGTGACTGCTCAGTTAATAGATGAGTCTGTGAGTGAGAGAGAGAGAAAGGCAGCACAGAAGATGAGCTCCTAATTTCTTTGAGATTTTATTGTTTTCTGGAACTGAACAAATAGTCTAGGAATAAGGCAACATCTAACAAAAACTAAAGAAAACCACAGAAGTTAAGAAATAATTTGCCATTGGAAAAAAAATCAACAAAGCAAACATCTAAAAAACTGAAGATCCACTATAAGACACAGCTACACCTGAGGATAAAGGACCCGAGGAAAAACACCAAAAAGAAAAATCCTCAAGAGATGAAGAGGAACAGACAGAAAATGAATAATTAAAACAAGAAGACAAGAAAGAAAGAAAGAAAGAAAGAAAGAAAGAAAGAAAGAAAGAAAAAGTACACCAAAGGAAAGAGCAGAACACAGCCGCACTGGACCAGCCCTGCCCTCTCAGCACAGTACTCCAGTAGCCTGAGGACGTGAAAACCGTTAAGACCAGGAAACAGTACAAAAACTCCTGGATGAAGGAAAACCCAGAGACCCTTATCGCTGACTACTGCCAGGCAGGAGAAAAACACATAAAAACCAACCTGCTCTTTTTTACTGAGCATCCGAATGCCTGGCACACAGCTGTGTGTAAGAATTATACAAACACCACCAGAAGGGGCATCAGCAAAGGCAGGCAAATCTCCATAGGGGGCGACAGCGAGGTAAAAGACACTGTCCTGACCGTCAACACTTACCACAATGGTACAGTGATGATACAGGGCAGTGAGGCCGCTCTGGAGCTTTTCGAGGAAAAGTTCACAGACCTTAAAACACAGGCCGACCTGGAGAAACCTCCCCAAGAAACAGGAGAGAGACCCAGCAGCCTGATGCCGCCACACCGGAGAGTTCAGCTCCACCTGACTCGGAGCCCACAAACACAGCCACACCAACCCCCCTGTGACCACAGCACAGTGCGCCTCCTGAGAGAGAAACTCTCTGCTCTGGAGCTGGACTTCACTGAGTTCAAGGAGCGGATCCTGGGGAGACTCACAGAGGGGCAGACAGCACAACAGCTAAGAGACGAGGTTAACAAACATAGGAACGAATGTAAAACCTCCAACAAACAGCTCAGGGCACAGATGGAAGAGCTGCTGCAAGACAACAGTAAGCTGCAGTCGGAAGTAGCAGAGCTGAGAGAGGAGCTGCAGCTCGCGGAGAGGACAAGCAAGACTCTCAAAGAACAGCTGAGGAAACTCTCTACTTCCCACTGCAGCCCTGACTGCAACAGAACAGCCCTGAGACCCAGAACACACAACACCCACCCCCAACCCGCAAAGACACACCCACCTCCACACAACCTGACACCCCTACAACCCCCACCACCAACTCCCACTTACCCAGTACCCCCACCGTAGCAAACACCACACCCACTGCACCCTCCGGCACCCCAAACCCCCTCACAACTCTACTGCCCAAAAGCACATCCACCTTGCCGAACACTCAGGGTGACCCACACACACACCCGGCCCCACCCAACTCTTCTACCTCACACACTGCACCCCCCCACGCAGCCCCCCACCCGGCAGCACAGCGCCCCTCCAGCAGACTGGACACCAGAGGCAGACGCATGGAAGTAGTCCTTCTCATCGACTCCAACGGAAGGTACATCGATGAGCACAGGCTCTTCCCGGGATTACAAACAGCAAAGCTCTGGTGTCCGACGACAGAGAAGGCCCTGCAGCTGCTGTCCAGGTCGGTGCTGGGAGCCCCTCAGCACATCATCATCCACACCGGCTCCAACGACCTGAGGACCCAGAGGGAGCAGGTGGCCATCAGTCCATCAGGAGAGTGGCAGAGAGGGCCATACAGGAGTTCCCTCGCGCCCGAATTGTCATCTCCACCTTGCTGCCGAGACAGGACGAGCAGCACCACACCATCCAGAGAATCAACGCTGAGATCTCACGGTGCTGCGCCCTGCTCCCAAACGTCTACCTGGCCCATCACTCCACCCTTGGACCACAGCATCTACACGACCATAAACACCTAAAAAAACAGACCATTGGACTCTTCACAAAATCTCTGAAAGACACCACACTGGGCAGACACCCAAACAGCACCCCAGAGAAAAACAGGAGGACTACCAGAGGAACGCCCCAGCACCCACACTCCCAACCCAGACCAGCTCAACCTTACAGCCCTCCAACCCAGACAAACGACCGAACAGGACCAGAACCAGCGCCCCACCCCATGCCCCTCACCCAGACCAGCAGCTGAACCGGACCAGAACCACAACCCCTCCCCACCCAGCACAACAGCAGAGCCGGACCGAGCCCCTCCTGCACAGCTACGCCACAGCCCTGGCCAGACCAGCAGTCCCAAGCGGTTTGGAGCTGGGAGAAATCCGGCAGCTCCTGAACCTCATCTGCACCCAGCTTATGAGCTGAACTTCCATCACCCACAGCGACAGAACCCAGCACAATACTTGTTTCTGTTGATGATGTAAATGTCCGACACTAATTTGATACAGTTCCAGAAAACAATAACAAATTGCAAAGATAATTCAAACGATAACAATGAGATCTCTAACGATAAGTATGTGGAACATTCAGGGTCTGGGCTCGTCAGCATTTGGGCTGAAGAGCACTGATCCTGAATTTATCAAGGATGTAAAGGAGACAGACATCATGATCCTACAGGAGACATGGTGTCGGGGAGACTTGGCTACCCACTGTCCCCCAGGCTACAAGGAGATCACGGTGCCCTCTGTCAAAAAAAAACCAAATCACCCGGGGCAGAGACTCTAGGGGGGGATCATTGTGTGGTACAGAGCGGAGCTCAGTCACTCCATACAATTAGTAAAGAAAGAAGAGTCACGAGTTTGGCTTAAAATCAAAAGAAATACCATCTGTACAGAAAATGAGGTCTTCCTGTGTGCTGTCTACATCCCGCCCTCAGAATCCCCCTACTACAGTGAGGGAATTCTCCCCAGTCTCCACACGGAGATCGGTCACTTCCAGGGCGACCTGGGCAAACTGAGCTCCGACACCTGCCAGAGTCACAACGGGTCCCAATCCTACTGGGAGAGGGAGGAGGGAACTCAGTTGATCTGGCAGCCCAGTATGTGATCTCCTGTCACAGCCTGAGGAACAGTGAGTCTGTCTCCCAATAATGCTCCAGCCTCCTACAGTATATGTCAATATTTTATAATATGTCTTTGTTGAAAATGTCTGTAGGTTTTATTTTACTTCTATTTTTTGTTTTGTTCCATGTTAATTTTATTATTTTTATTTGCTTTGGCAACACCGATTGTACCCATCGGTCATGCTAATAAAGCACCTTGAATTGAATTGAAATAATAATTGTTTGGTTAAATTTATTATAGCAGTATATACTAGTGTTTACTTAAGTGTTTGGTTTAGAATGTTGTGGTCCTGGTTTTTGAAAAGCTCAATAAGTTAGATAATCTTAGACTTATTTACTTTTGTGTATGTCTTTATTCTTTCTATTGGTATTTTATTTTAGTATTGGAGTGGAAACATTTATTTTAACTCCACAAAAATCTGAAAAGTGAAAACGCAAGTTAACATTTGTTACATGTAAAAATAATTTGGTTAAATAATTGACTTAATTATCTCTGGCACTTAATTGTTTTATAATAATAATAATAATAATAATAATAATAGCAGGGTCTCGGCACCGAAAACAGACGGAGGCCTGCGAGGCAGCGGACTGTCGGTACTGCGCCAGGCGAGGGGGGAAGCAAGCGCCGCGGCTACGTCCCTGAGCGGGGCAGCAGGATGCAGACGCCGAGACCAGCGGCCGGCAGCGAATGATTTGCATATCAAAAAGACGTCTAGACCTACCTTGACTGTAAATAACTCGTGCGCTGTTTGAACAATTTCCTCCCAGTACTGTTCACGTTACAAAATTTTAGGACAGAAAACACTAAACAGTTCATCAATTTCATTACGGGATTAATAAAGTATTATCTATCTTAACCTCCATACATCCACACGCGTCTTCCGGCCATGTAATCCTAACACGTTACAGTGGTGACGTTCACGATCCCCAAACGTCTTTTTGTATTTTTTTATTTATGCTTAACAAAATAACAAAAATTACAATACAAACAAGAGTACGTATAAGAATTCAAAACAAAGATATCGTCAGGGGTAGATATTACTACATAAATTCACATTATGAAAAAAGGTTAAACAAATTAAATTAAAAAATGTCCGCACCGCTTTCATATTTGTGCACTTCGAAATAGTCTGCAAATACCCCCTTACATCCATTTTAAAATGTTCAAACGATCCCCAAACGTGAACAGCTTCGGTTTTAGCCTCAGTTTCTAGACGAAGAGCCAAGGAGTAAAAGCTCTACTGAACTAAGGACAGAAGATTTAAAGTGTAGCATTTCCTCCATAACAGACCCTCCTTTCTTAAAATCTCCACCAAAGTATTAAAAATGAGTTCTTTTATTTTTCGCCTTTGCCTCAGAGATCTGCAGCACCGTGGCTTTTACACGAGGTGAACACAGACGAAACTCGTCTAATTGAGACTCTCGTACTCCTTAGAAAACGAGTTTTTAACTCGAGCAAGGAGGTGTGATTCAGTCCCTGCGATAGAGGGCAGTTACAGGAACATTTAAGCATAAAGGCGAAAATCGAAATCATAAAAACACCATGATCTATAAGCATCTCTTTATAATGGAGTTTAAACTCGATTTAAGTGAATCGACAAGCACTTGAAACTTGTAAGAGATTTTAACAGCGGAATTACTGAAATCAGACGACGCAAACATCGTTTATTTTTTGCCAGAATCTCCTCATCTTCGTTAAAAAGAGGACTTGGAGATCCTCACCACAGTTTCTAGACCTCAGCGCCTGTATTACCACTGAGATTATGTATTACCAGTGCTGGCGCCAGTGCTCCACTTCAACCAGCGCCATTTTATAAGATCCCAACCCTGTCTGGTACGGCGTTGCTTTTCGATTCAAAAGCATAAATAATCCACTTATTTGTAAAAAGCCTTAATTTTGATGGAAATACGGAACCCTTACCGATATTCTCTAATCGTTTTCTATATCTCAAGATGTACAAGTAAGAATATTAATAAATATTTAATACTTCCTACATCAGTTTCTGTTTACAGACGACGACGAGTAACACCTCGACTGAACGCTCCTCACACTAATTTAAACTGTAACATTTATTTCTAAACAGATCATCTTTTCTTAAAATCTCCACAAAAGTATTAAAGATGAATTCCCTTACCTTCGCTTCGGAGATCCGCTGCACCGTGGATCTTACACGAGGTGAGCCCAGAGGAAACGAGTCTTATTGAGACACTTATGGTCATACTCGTTGTTAGATGTTGCTCATGCCCTTCTAACTCCAGCTTTTCTGATAGCCCATTTACTATCCAGACGTCCCGGGTCTTCATGTCGCCTGTTTCTTCCGTTTTATTAATCACGTTTCTGCTTCAAACTAACCAATATAGTTCTATAAATCTCTCTTTTTGGCCGCTTTCTTCGGAGTGGGATCCGAAACATTTGACGATTCACGCGAAAATCTAAAAGGGCAAACAACGGACGGATGTGACGTATCGTCGTCAATGTGAAACCTAGAAAGGTCTGCAGGGGGAGTTTCTGAAAACTAATCCCTGGCAGATCTCAGAATTGCGACTCGCTAACACGTCACTCCCGCACACACCGATGTCTCTTTAAAAATGTTTACATTTTTGGGGAAACAATTTAACGGATATTAGCCTGTCATGTGGAACAAAAACATAATACAGAATTTGACATTATATATATAATGGGGTAACCCCGGCATCCTGGCCAAATTTCCCATCGGCCTTTATCAATCATGGCCTCCTAATAATTCCCTATGAATCTATGAATTGGCTACAGTACATCACTCTGCTCTCTGCCCCACTGAGAGCTGGTGTGTGGGGAGCGTTCTGGCGCACTATGGCTGCCGTACCATCATCCAGGTGGGGCTGCACATTGGTGGTGGTGGAGGGGATCCTCATTACCTGTAAAGCGCTTTGAGTGGAGTGTCCAGAAAAGCGCTATATAAGTGTAAGCAATTATTATTATTATTATTATTATTATTATTATTATATTCATGTATAAATTAAAGTGTAATGGTAAGTTTCAAGAATTTTGTAACAGGGACATTTTTTAAAGGCGACACTTCACATGCAGAAGTATAAACCTGTGATCCTGTCCTGCTCGGGGAACATATACTTTATTAGGGTAACATTAGAGCATCATAAAATACTAAGAACCGGTGCCCACAGAAAAACAAAACTCACCTGAGCCAATGAAATAAGCTATAGTGGTGAAAGAGAGCGGAAATACTTCCAGAAACATTCGAGTTCTCCGATCTGTGCAATGCACAGCCGTCGATGTCCTGTTATGACTTTCCCTTTGTATCCTCGACTCGCCTCTACTTTTCTCTTCACCTCTCCCGTCATCTGAATCTTTTTCATTTCCTTCTGAATCCGGGGCGATTTAAAACACGCCATTTTTTGCTGAGAAATGGATGAAATTTTCCTCGTTTTAGAACAACTCGCTCGAGTTTGTCAACCGCTCTGCAGACCTCGACTGCACTGTACAGTATTTCACCGACAGAGGTCTGAAAGACAAACTACGCCCGTGTAACAATTTGAATCAGTCAGGAAGGGGAGGTGCTCTTGCTGAGGATCCAGGCTTGAGCCACGATGGCCAGGTCGGGGTTTAAGAAGGTCGCTCAGCAGGGCAGCTGTCCCACAGTGCAACGGGCGTACAGTGTGGGGAGATCGGGCGTTTTCCGTGTACATAGTTCTCCCTCTGTTAATTCGCAATTCTGAGTGTTCAAGTCGCAATTCTGAGACACCATAGAGCGTTTTTTTACTCCCTTGCGGAAACGGGCTTCCATAGTGATGTCACTGTAAATTCAGACGTGATGCTCAGCAGATGTGCATTGTTCCTTTCCTCCTGTCGTATTGAGGAGGACTCACTGCGTGAGCTCCTCACTGCGTGTCCTTTACTCTACTGTGATTTCGTTTAGATTATCTACGTGGAGTAGAGTGACAAGATCACCTTGAACATTTTCGGTTTGTGAAAGGAAACACTAAAGAAAATACAAGTAATGAACATTTAAAATAACCACAGTACAGCTATAAGAGTGAAAGATAAAGACGATTTATAATGGCATTCACAATGGATTTAAGGAAAGCACAACCGCCCTGGAACCTCGGACTAAAAGTCTGATGCTCTACCCACTGAGTTATCCAGGCTTTGGAAGAACAAAGGCACTGCCGGGATCTTTGCAAGTCACATGTCTCTTCTTGTGCTGAAGAGCAGTCATACCGGACCCGTCTGGAAAGACCACTGACAGACTTTATCCAGAAGCACCGGCACCACTCCTAGTAGAATGAGAGAGAAATACAGCACGACATGGAGAGTCAAGGGTCTCCCACAATCCATCTTTCCTCACATCACTGATTGTTTCACTAAGAATTTGACCTTTTCACAATCAGATTTTTTCACATTTAATAAGATCTTTTAATCAACAACATTTAAGAAAGAAAACAAATCGAACTTTTTTGGAAAAATAATTAAATAATTAATTAATGCCTTGGTTGTATACGTGTGCACACCCTTTAAAAAGGGGGTTGCAACTGTGCAAAGTTAGCACAGTTAACAAAGGTTATTTGCCTTCGCCAGACATCAATTGTATCGATTCTGATTAGTCCTAATTTATATAAGCTGATCTCGTATAACCAACCGATCTGGGAGAACAAACGTTCAAACTGCACAGCGGAACATGAAGAGAAATCCATTTGCTGATTGTCAGCAAAGAATGTCGTTATAAATTATCCACAGAGCTGTTTTATGTATCTGGCCACCTCTTTCCTTCCTACTTTGCAGTGAGCACAATTCTGTCAGTTTCTTGTATTTTCTTTTCTATCTTACTGTCCCTTTCCCCCAAGTGGAGATGGATCCGCAACTGAAACCCTTCTCTCTCCCCCCCCCCCCACAGGCACGAAAGGCGAGCTGAGAACCGCGCCTTGTGGCTAGAGTACGGAACTGTAAATGCTAGGACGGATGCTCGGATACAGACTTCTCTTCATGCCTCTGTGTTAGTGAAGGTGCAGCGCTGTAACCCCTGTCCCTGTATATGTTCTTTTTCCAGTTCAAGTTCAAGTTAATAAATGTGTTCAACCCTTCCCTGAGTCCCATACCTGCTCAATTCTGTACCCGAATTCGTTATACTATACTAAAACCACAACTCATTGCAGAAGTAATTCAGACGCATCAAATCAACTCAGAAAAGTCTAAAGAAATTAAAGTCCCAGCCCTCGTGGCCTCTCTTTTCTCTTAGGAGTGGTACTGTCACTAGTGGGTCGGTCATGAGTGGGTCCAGGGTCACACCCATTTATTCTCCACATTTGAAGCCCGGGTGGGGGTTGCTTTAGAAACGGACTGCATTCACGTCCTAAACACTTACAACCAGAAACACCTGAGGTACCGAAAATATATACTGTACGTACACTTCTGACAGTTCGTCTGTTACACCTTTTGTTACGGCAGAGTGGAGTGATAGCGAGCTAAAATCAAATCAAATCAAATCAAAGTTTATTTATCAAATGCACAACAATACGGCGTGCAGTAGTAGTTGCTGGCAATGAAATGTCTTTTTCTGTGAGCTCACAAAAATTACAAGAATCACAAAAATCACAAAAACACAAAAATCACAGAATTGAGGTTACATTTTTTAAATTGAATAAAACTCAATATGAGTAGAGCTGCTATGTGTCCATGGTGTATGCAATATATACAAGTAGCGCGGTTATGCTGAATACAGTGAAAACTGTGTGTCCATGTAGCCATTACAGGTGATTTGCTAAAGGAGGTGGAGGTTGGCTATTGAGCCGTCTTATTGCCTGGAGGTAGAAGCTGTTCCGTAGTCTGTTGGACTTGGACCGAATTCTTTGGTACCGTTAACCGGACGGTAGGAGGGAAAATGTGACTGGGATGACTGGGGTCCTTAAGAACGGACCTGGCCTTCTTCAGACATCTAGCTGAGTAGATCTCCTGGATGCTTGGTAGCTCACAGCTGGTGATAAGCTGTGCTGACTTCACCACCCTCTGCAATACCTTGCGATCCCCTGCGGAGCAGCTCCCACACCAGGCAGTGATGCAGCCAGTCAGGATGCTCTCAATAGTGCACCTGTAGACGTTGGCCTGGATATGTGATGGCATGCCAAACTTCTTTAGCCTGCGGAGAAAGAACAGGCGCTGCCGTGCTGTCTTGACCACGGTGTTGGTGTGGTGGGTCCAGGTTAAATCCTGTGTGACGTTAACTCCCAGGAACTTAAAGCTGCTGACCCTCTCCACTGCAGTCCCATTGATGTCATGCATGATTGGACGCATTTACGCCCCCCCCCCCCCCCCTTAAAGTTTAATTCCTAGCCTCCATATCCACTCTTACTCGGAGGAAATGCCGCTGGTTGAATAGCTAAACGGCACACCGCGATTAAAGGAGGCTAGTGAACGCGTCTCTAACTCTGTACGACACGTACCTCATACCCGCTACTACAAACACCCTTGATCTGCGATAATATCCTACTCGCACCCGAGTTTAAAACACGCCCCGATGTGTGTGTAACGCTGTCGTGCTCTTACCGTGCGTTTAAAACCGGGCGGAAAGCAGACACCGGACAGTCCTAAATACTCTCGTTAAACACGACATTCAAGAGCATCACGGACACGAAGCCAACGGTTCAAGTTTGTAACACCCCCTCTCGGTGCAGTCTCAGCATCGTAACGCTCACCGGCCTTCAACAAGACACTGGGACTCCAGAGAGCGAGGAACCGAGCGAGACTATGGGAAACTGGGAAAAGCGAAATTCAGCGGGTGAACGACATTGATTCTCACAGGAACACGCTGCCCTATAAAATAAATAAATTAAAACCCGGTGGTCCCGAAAGCACGGGGCATCACTCACCCAGAAGCAGAGCAGAAGCCAATTGATGCCGGTTGTAACAGAAGATCGTGTTCTGAGCCGGAGCTGCCGAGTTACTACTCCCGGTGATGTCAGAGACAATTTCTGACAACCTTTCTCCAGTTCTTCTGGGGAGACTTTTTTTTTGTCGTGGTTGAATATCAATAGAAGTAACGTGGCTTGCATAGATGAGCAGTCGACCGCATTCCTGCAAGAAGACGATACGTGCCAGACTGTTGTTAAATCGCACGCTTAATGTTAAAATGTTCTGCAATTTCCCTCACTGGGTCCAGTGAAGTCTGGAAGGGGCTGAACTACATCAGCGTACGGTCGGCCAATGAGGACGCTGTGCTGAACAAGAAGGAGGTATGTTCTCGCTCTCCGAACTAATTTGTTGTGTCAAAGCTTTGATAGCGGTGAAACCCTTCGGCGAGGAATCCACCCCCTTCAGCTGAGTGCGCTCCACTTTGGTCTTCAATCGTGACTCGCCCATTGAGAGAACCATGCTCTGCCTCTGGGTGAGTGATGTATAAAGCTTTGATTATGGGGAATACATATTCCAGCATTAATAAAGTAGAACTTTCTCATGGTTTTAAAACTCATTTGAAATAAAATAATTTATTACGATATTTTAGATTCATGCTTTATGCATTCTATGTAAGATTGTTTTATATAACATAACGCTTTTATTTCCGTCACCCTGTTTCTACGGATGAATAGTCGTTTACCTGCGACGCATTTTTTACGTGGAAAGTGTGATATAGTACACGTATTTAATGGTAAAAAGCTGTGAAGTATTGTCATGTTTACCTTCTTTATTTTGACTAAAGGCGATGAACAAGTTATGTTCCTCGAAATGTCATTTTCCTACAGGGACAGACTATATGAAATGTATTTTGATAATTAATTGCGTTGAGCAAAGCACAGCTCACTACTGGACACAGCTCAGCTCGGTGCCAGACACAGAGTCAGGGAAACAGACACAGGTGCGAATGGACAACACAGGATGTTAAGGCTGCCTGTCCCCCGTGTTTTAATTTGTGTGAGATTGTTTCCTTTTGAGATGTTATTTCGGAATAAAGTACATTTTGTACAAAAAAAAATATCCGTCTATAGCGGCGACACCGACCCGCGGTTCGGCGCCGAGCTGAACTCGACCACCGGCTCCATCAGTCTGAGGATCCGGAACGTCACCCGGTCGGACCTGGGGCTGTACTACTGCGCCGAGAGAGACGGGGGGCACCTTAAAGTTGCACCGGGAATCAGGCTCGTCCATGAATGTGAGAGAGGTTTTGTTTTTTGAGTTTCTAAATAAATATTCTTTTTTTTTAAATGATAAGGGCCGATAAAGTCAACTGTGTTGATATATACCATTCGGTTTTCCGTATGGAAACCACTGATAACTGGACCTTTGCCACGAGTCTAGAAATGTTTCTTGGACGAGACGGATTAAAGAAACAAGCAAACTACACCCCATTGGACTTGCAGAGCAGAAATGTGGTTTTTCACTGACCTGATCACATTTCCGTGCTATTAAACTAAAAATCCAGCATAAGAAGCATTTGAATGCAAATGTAAAAAAAAAAAACTCCCAACAACTTGAAACCCAAAATAATCTTTATGTTGTTTTTTGTACCTTTTATGTTTGGGCAGTATTGGGTCGCAGTGGTTGGCATTGTTGCCTGGCATCGTTGGCGTGAAATTTGGACCTGGGTGCTGTCTGTGTGGAGTGTGCATGCTCTCTCCGTATTCATGTGAACTCTGTACTGGATACAGCAGTTAGAAAATGGATTGAGGGATTAAACTTATTTTGTTTCTACAATGATAACGGTGTTGTTCAGAAGAAGGTGTAGATGATCATCCCAGCTCGTCCTCACTATGAGACTGGACTGTCCTGCCTCATCGTCCTGCTGGTGACTCTTCCTCTCTCTGCCCTGCTGTCCTCTGGCTGCGTCTTCTGTCTCTTCCACAGAGCAGGTCAGTGTGTCTTCATACTCTCAGCCTACTCTGCAAGTGAGGAAACTCTCTGCAGCGTTCAATGTCAACAAAACAACATTTTTAGATTTCAGAATTTACATTTACAGTTTAAGTATGGCATGTTTTCCCTGCTTAACAAGTGAAGAGGAATAATATTCATGTCATCACATCTCTGACCATTAGTGCCCTAATTGATTTATTCTGAGTTCACTTTTTTTAATTCATTACATTTTTGTATCTTTAGCTCTTCCCCCCTCACGATTAAATGAGGGAGAAATTCAAATTAAGCATTCGAAATAAACACATTTATAAAATATATATTTGATTGCATCAAGAAAAGCAACTTCCTGCAATGAAACAGAAAGACCCATTTTCTTTGAGTGAACACTTCCAATGGAAATCCCAGAGAAACTCTTTGGTCTTATGGAATGAAATACATTTCAGCAGGATAAGAATGGAGGCTGAACTCATGTGGGGCAGTAAATGAAAGAAAATGCTCTACACTGCTAATATTGTTAAATTATTTCCTAATGTAAAATAAATATATTAAAGCATTGCACACCTCAGTATAGGCTAGTAACAGGGATCTGTATTATCTAAAGCAAGATTAAAAATACATTTCTGTATATGCTGTTTGTCAAGTCTGTTATCAATATATAATGTTTTTGTTTTTTGTGCTGCTTTTTGCACTCTTTCCAATTCAGGTAAAACAGTGGGTGATGATCCCAAGACAAGCAACAATGAAGACAGAGTGAAGGTGATCATTCAATTAAAATTCCATCTAAGAAAACACAATACATGGGACAGAAATTAGACAGAAATACTGTAAAGCAAGGATCCAATCAGGTGGCTCTAGATAAACTTTGAACAATTTCTTGTTATTGATAAGTTCATGTCTTATTCAAAGTTTAACACTTGCAGGAAGCAGAAAACTGAAGCAGTATTAAACGAAGTTACAGAGCAGATACAGTAGACTTTTGTTTGGTAAAAAACACACTCAGCTTTGCAATAAACAAATCACTAATAAACAGAGCAAAGCTGATCACCAGTGTCTCGGCTGTGAAAGTCACAGGCTAGTAGCTTGTTCACCCTCAGCTGTAATAGAGGCTGTGCCTACAGGACTCCTGCTTTGGACGAGATTGCAGATGGTGTCCTGTGTGGATGTGTCCCTAGAGCTGGGACAAGCACGTGTTTGTTCACAGGTCTCTCAGGCCTTACAGACACAAGTATCCCAGCTCTTCCCACTACTTACACACCAGTTAAAATCACTTGAGTGTCTTACTGTCAGTCATGAATGGTTAATCACAATGATGCACAAAAAAAGTTTAGTCCATATCATAGAGTCATAAGCTGATTGTGTACCCAGTAATCTAGAGAGCAAATCCCATTGTAATACCCCTCAAAATTTTGTCTCTTTTCTTTGTTCTCTTTGTTGCAGGAGGGCGATAAAGATGAAGGACTGAATTATGCTACTTTAGAGATCCGCAATGCCCCAAAAGATGACAATAACAAACGCCCACAGAACAAGGAGCTTTCCAAAGAGACAGCGCACCTAAAGAAACAGGAACCACAAAGTCATGAGTTCTGTACATACTCGGATATTAACACATTTAAAAAAACACAACGGCACTGATTTCATTCATCAAGTGAGGCAGTTTTTTAACTTTTGAATTCATAAAAATGTTCTTTAAGAAAATGGAAATAAAGTAATAAAAACAGGTTTCTGCCTGGATCCAAGTCATTTTTGTTTCTTTAGTCTCTAACTGGGATGTGGATCCTGATCTTCTCTGCTGAAAAGGTAGAGAAAATTAAACCTCTTCTTTAGTATTTTTGATATTCACAAATCTATAATTAAAATCCCTTTTACAGAAGCTATTGCATATTGTACTGCAACGCACAAGCTCGAAGTTATCCTCTATTTCAGGAATCCAGGGTTGAATTTACAGAAGTGCAGTTAATCTATCTTATCGGGCTCTGATATCGGCTCTGATTTGGTGTCTTTGTACCGAAGAAGGGAGATATAATCGAAATTAACCCTTACAAATAGGAGTGATGTCACAGCAGCACAGGAGGCTGTCAGTGAGACCTGTCAATCATCCAGAGTTGCTCAACCAATGAAGAGCCAGCTGGGCGGGGATGAAACTTCCCCTGATGACATCACAGCCAATCACCAGCCGCCATTACTAGACTTAAAAGCTGCCGAAAAAAAAGCCTCCGGGGGTTGGGGCTGAGGCAAAATTGTTGAAACTTTAATGATTTTTTTCCCCAGTGCATTTTTTTATTCTGATAGGGGACTTTACAGAGCACAAAGGTACTGGAAAGGCATTCAGCGCGATGTACATAAAGATGATATGCCCTTCAGTGAGGAATAGCGATTACAGCTGCAGGAGAAAACCCGGCGGTGTCTTGGCAATGGGTACAGTTTAAATAGATGCTGCTGTAAGTAAATAAAATGACCGTCATTTGTCTTGTCGCGCACATCGTGCTCCATCTAGTTTTTTTTAAATATAACTGCCTGAGAGTGTTGTTATCACATTAATGCCCTTTCCAACCCGGGAGTAATAAATAAAACACTGAGGAAAAGTCTGAATTGTTTTGATTTTCGCTTCTTTGTGGGTAGGGGTGTTAGAAATTGGCGTGAAATAAACTTTTCTTAGGAATTGTTAGTGTTGACGGAAGTTAGACAAACTTTTCATTACTTTCGGTTTTGAAAGAACCATTTTATGTTTGGAATGAAGTATGAAATGCCCCTATTTTAACCACAACTTAAGTAATACCACCCCCTAATGGACATAAGATGTTGTGATTTAACTAACGGTATCAAATCGTAACTTATGCTTTTGTGAAACGTTTCTTGTAATGTGAGGGAGAGCCAGAGCTAATGACGCGCATGCGCAGCTCGAAGGGGCGTAGCGACATAAAAATTAATTTGTTTCTGAGAACAGCTGGGAAAGTTAGAGGCACTGGAGTGAAATGTTTAAATTAACCCGTGCACAATCGGAGCATAAAACTGCCCGCTACAGGCAATTCTGAACCTGTAAAGACCTGTTTAAATTAAGTGTAGGATGCCGAATTATAGTTTTAACGCCGAACCAATATTGTCTCTTAAGAGTTGGAACACGTATAAGATGACTTTATTGGCCGTATACAATTTCTTGCATTAGGAATTTCTTTTCACAGACCCCAGCTTGCTCTCCATGAGACACACAGACAGGGAGAGAGAAGCTTGGGGTCAGAGGGCAGGGTCGGCCATGTATACGGCACCCCTGGAGCAGTTGGGGTTAAAGGTCTCACTCAGGGGCCCAACGGAGTAGGATTCCTCTGTCGGCCAGGAGGAATTTGAACCGGCAAACCCTTCCAGCTACAGGCACAGAGCCGTATTCCCAGAAGACGGGTAATCCGGGTCACAGCCATAGGTCACCTCTGTACTATTTACTCTCCATCTAATTTAGAACAACATAGTTATAAGACTATATATGAACATGAAAATATTCAGTTATTCTGTGAGTGATTTTCCAGTTAAAGAAAAGCCGATGTTGGTGATTTGCTTGGATATGATTTCAGTAACTAGCGCGTTTTCATTTTGTTTTTACTTTTTATAATCAACTACTGCTCGACTGATCTTGCCCAATGTGTGAATTTTAACTTGTTACATTTGGCATTTGTCTAGTTTAACTGCTTAAATCATACCTGATGTGGGAGTTGGATATCTATAAAATGTAGATCACAGTACTGTACTTGCACCTATACAGGCCTAAATTCATCTGAACAAAAATAGGGTAGGTCTTGTATGTTTTTCCATTCTTCTTCACTTCTGTTTATGCAAGTATTTTAATGAGCCTGTAGGATAAATAATATAATAGAACAAGGTTCAATTAATCACCCTTCTAATGCACAAAATGCCAGTATTTTGCTAAACAGAAAGAAATGTCTCCAATTCAAATCTCAAAGTTTAAAGATGTTTTCCATTTGAAATTGGCTTCTTAAGCACTGAACTAGAAAAGCCTTATTTTAAAATACATTTATTATAACTAACTACCAGAAAGTACTCAAAACAGTGTCATTAAAGCATTTGTGCATAAATTTGTAATATTGACAAAAAGCCAACATAATCTCCTTACAAAATTAATAAAAATGCAGGTGGGAAATCAAAAACAGAACAGAATTATCTAAAAGCAATGAAGTAATTTCCTCCTTTTCTAGGAAAGATCAGAGCCCTGCTGGTTTAGATAGGAACTCAGGCTGGTTGTTACTCAGTCACCTGTTTTTTTTTTATTGCAGGGTGAAATGTTCCCACATCATTTTCTTCTGATCACTTGGCTCGTGACAAGTGGTGAGTGATACTTCAAGTCTAATTGTCTGGTGTTTATTAATGCAGTTTGTCCTGAACTGGGACAGCCCATCTGCCCCCTGAGCACCTGTATCAACCACAGATCCACGACTGCACACCCACTCCCACACACTGTACTGCTGGAGGAAACCAGTCAGGCCAGGCTCCCAGGAGTGTCATTTTCCAAACTCTCTTCATCATCGGATTCCCTCTTTTGCTCAGGACTATTTTTGGATTTTTCACAACTTCATATTTGCGATGAAAATCACATCTTATTATCCCACTCAGACTTTTAATGAGCAATGCGTATGGTAGCTGAATTTCTTGAAACCTTGAGAATATTTTAAGCATTTTGACCCTGTTCTACAGATGGATTATATCTTTAAATTATCTCATAGCAGGGATTTGATATTCTATATGGTGTACATGTATAAAGAAAACTGTATATGAAGATCGTTAAAAGGGTGGCTCAGTGGCACAGTAGTTGGCATTGCTGCCTCACAGAGATGGGGCCTCGGGTTTAATTCCAGACGTGCTGTCTGTGTGGAGTTTGTCTGTTCTCCAAGTATGCACGTTTTTACATTCAGGGCCGTGCAGGAGCCAGAGCATCCCAGCAAGCAACAGGTGCAAGACAGGGTTCACCCGGGATGGGACACACACACACACACCAGGGCCAATTTTCCCAACTAACCCACTAGCATGTCTCTGGTTAGTGGGAGGAAACCCATGCAAAGATGGTGGGGGGCATACTAATAGCACTCCAGGAATAGACCCAGTGCTGGGAGGCAGCTATACTAACCCTGTGATGGCCATTACCGGAAATCTTAATGCAAAGACATAACATATTTAACCACAGAATGTAAGAGGACTTAACATACACACACTGTATAGCACACCATGTCTGAGAAAATCTGAACTGGTTACAGCCAGAATTAAGCAACAGGTCTGTCGGTCTGATTTCTACACACTTTGTGTCTTGCATTCGATTTATTTAAAATAACCTTTCTCCTCCGTTTCTCCCAGTCTCTGCAGATACCCCAGTCACCCCAGTCTCGGGGAGATTTGGGGAGTGTGTTGTCTTGCCCTGCGATGGAACAGCAGCTGTTGGAAACTCCGGGGATCAGATCGATATTCTGTGGAGACACTCGTTAGGAGACGTGTTGGTTTTCAGAAGCCAGAAGAAAGTTACAACCAACATGCCAGTAGATTGTGGGAAGAAACCGGAGCACCTGGAGGAAACCCACATGAACAGGTGGAAGAACATGGAAACTCCACACAGACAGCACCCCCAGATCCAGAATTGAACTCCATGTAGCTGTTTAAATCATGTTTGCAAATCAGTACTTGAGTGATTTTCCACAAATGTAGTGATTCTACTGCGTTTTTTCAATTGACTAATTTATATGAATTGGTGACAATGCAAGGTTGCAGGATAGTTACGTGTATAGACCATAAGTGTATAGCCACCCTGGCTATACACTTATATATATATAAGTATATCCGTATTAAGAATTGAATCTACAGAAACGCCCACTGCGATGTCACTCAAGCGAGACTTCAGAGCCACAGAGCTGGGTTGGTGAGCAGACACGGATGACCGTGGCCAAAACACCATGCAGCGGGAGGAAACTGGTCAACTTCTAACGGAGATGGAGGCGCTCTCTGGGTGCGTTACTCTGCTCTGCTTAATCAATAAGTATGTTTTTTTTATCAAGTTCGCTTCGAATATCACGAGTCTGTCGAAAAAGGAGGCCTGTTTCTCCTACATCATGAGAAAAAGTGTGGAATGCGCCACTTCATTACGTAATCTATTTTATTGATTAAATTAAGGCTATATGTACTTTAAAGTGAAGTTATTTTAATTGCTTTTGATCTGACACAGTATCAGATATCTGTAGCAGGAGGTAAGAGAGGTGACAGCAGTTTTAATTCGATAAAATCTCCTTTCATCGAGCCTCTTGTCTGTATTCGGTCGGGTACTTGACATGACACCAGATAGTCGTTATTTTCACTGTGCTGTTTGGAACTTTCCTGTGCATTTAAAACATTTAACATAAAAACATAACATGAAACATAAAAATCATTTTAATCAGGAAGAAGTACTCGGTCACTGCTAATGTACGTTAACCTGATTCGCATCCAGACTTTCACGTATTTACCTGCAGCTACATCCACCTGAGCTGATCTAATTTCAACGACTATAGTGTTACACTAGTTAAAGGTTTCTAGATGGGTATTTATACTTCCTGGTTATGTATGCGTGTTGATTTGTCAAAGAGTGAAATATATCTCTGTGCATATTATTGTAGCGTTTGCAGGTTCTTTACAGAACAAGGACGAGTGGAGACACAATTAACAAACAAGCATTAGCTTTATTCGTTTACAACCACACAAAACCAAACACAGGATCTACACACACATGAGGAGACTGACAGAACACGTATACATAGTTAGGGTGGTAATTACCTAACAACACACTACACTTTTACAGGACTACACAGGGCACTAGAATCACTAGGACATTATTTACACAGGTAGGGTCAGCCGCTGGTCATCGTGCTGACCCTCAGACTCTCCCCGGCTACCACTCCCAGCATGCCCAGCGGTACTACGAGCGCCTAGGGGCGCTTCCTCCTCACCACCAGGCGAGGGCGTTACATTATTAAAGCCACAGTAACCCAGCTAATCTGATAGGTACTCGTGTCCTGAGAATTTGTCAGAAAACCCTTCTCGTTGTGTTCTGATTTTTTACAAATGGCATCCAGCACTGAGCATTACTGTGCTAGGTTTATCCATCAGATAGCATAAACTCGTCTGTTTCTGCTGTGGCGACCTTGATTCTATTCTGACAGCCGCTGGCGCAAAACTACAGACAATTCAGAGCCAACCAATTAACCCTAATTAGCTCAGCCAACATGTCTTCGGATTGTAGGAGGAAACCTAGACACGTGGAAAACATCCAAATTGCACACAGAAGGTTCCCGTAAACTAGAATCTAACCCGCGACGTGAGAGGCTACGAGGCACCGCAGTGCTAATTGCCACGCCCTTCTACCGCCTTCAATCTTGTTTCAAAGGGCTTTGGTTTCGAGAGCTAAAGCTTATTTAGGGATATCTTCTCCTCTGTGGTCACTCTAGATAGCGCGGCGTGGGGAGGTCACTCGGGAGCGCTGGGGACGAGGTCTGTCCGACTCGGGGACACGGTGACCCTGCACTGCGACATCTCGCTCCGGTACGAAGCCATGTGGCTCATCCAACGGCCCGACCAGACTCTGTCTCTGGGTGTTATAGCCAGTAAAAACAAGGTGGGCCCCGAAACTCATATATCCGTCTATAGCGGCGACACCGACCCACGGTTCGGCGCCGAGCTGAACTCGACCACCGGCTCCATCAGTCTGAGGATCCGGAACGTCACCCAGTCGGACCTGGGGCTGTACTATTGTGCCGAGAGACACCTGGAAAGCCTTAACATTGGACGGGGAATCAGGCTCGTCCATGAGGGTGAGAGGGGTGGCTTTTTCGAGTTTTAAAATACAGATTCATTTTTTTTTTCAAATCAAACTACGACCATACAAAGCCTATCAAGTCAACAGTTTGTATCGAAAACACTTATAACTCGCCGTGAGTCATACTTTATTTTTGGAGAACACATATTAGAATAAACAAGCAAATAAGACAGCACTTGAGCTGCAAACCTGAAGTGTGGTTTTCACAGAGCTGGTCACGTATCGGTGCTACTAAAGTACAAAATCAGTCTAAACACCGTTAAGTTGCCAAGATGCAAACAAAAAAAGATGACATAAAGCTTAGTCTGGGTTGCAGGATGGCACAGTGGTCAGTACTCGGTACTCAGTACTGCTGCCTTGTAGAACTGGGGCTCTGGGTTCAATTCTGGACATGGGCTGCAGTCTGTGTTGAGTTTGCATGTTCTGTTTGTGTGGGTTTCTTTTGGATGCTCTGGGTTAATGCTGGGGGGTTAATGAGCCCTGGTGTGTGTGTGTGTGTGTGTGTGTGTGTGTGTGTGTGTGTGTGTGTCTCCTGTCCAGGGTCAACCCTGCCTTGTGCCTCTTGCTTGCTGGGATAGACTCCAGCTCCCCCTGTGACCTGGATACAGCTGTTAGAAAATGGATGGAGGGATTAAGCTTATTTTGTTTCTAAATATCCTTCTACAATGATAACGGTGTTGTTCAGAAGAAGGTGTAGATGATCATCCCAGCTC